TTCCTGACGATGTGTTACAGATAAGGACACGAAAGCTTGAATCTCTCTTTTTTTATTTCTGTTTGAAATAAATTAATAAAAATGTTATTCACAGCGCTGCTCTATCTCCTGAAATAGAAAATAAGTTATATTTTTGTATTTTAGATAATTAAAAATGGCTAAAACATTTGAATGCGTTTAATACATGAAAATCTTACAAAAAATATAGGAAATGTTTTGGAAATTGTATGCAAAATAGGAAAAGAGGTAATTAGCTAAAAAATAAAATTTTCATTCGGTATTTTTTGTCATTGATAATATAGATTATATGGATCTAGATACAAGGAAGTGGGTGCGGGTATACTCTTCAAATATCTACACACACACCCTGGTACCCTCCTAAACATTCAATTGTCATGTATGCTACTTAAAAATTCAATGTTTGTATTAGAAAATAAATATAGAATTTCCTTGCTTCCAAGAAATCATCTTTGAATTGTATCTATTCTAATAAAATTTAATGAAGATTTATTTTAGTTTTGAAATTTTTTGTTGTTTTACATGTAATAGGAGATACATGTAAAGGAGATATGAATGAATCTTTCATACATTTTTCTTCAAGAAAATAACGATTTCAACTTTTAAGTATTATTAATTTTGAAACACGTTGTCAATATAGACATGTGTCTATTTGCTTCGATCGGATTGAAACTATGACTAACAATAATACGAATAAAAATTGTTGTTTTTTTGTTTTCGAGCGGGAAAGGAGTAGGTCTTTTATTGAAATGAATAACATTACTATAAAGAAAGAAAATGTTTTGAGACAAATACATGTTTACTATGACAATGTCACAATTATGTACAAATGTTTTTCAAATGGTTACCTATTGTTGTTATTTCTTTATGAATCATTGTTATTATCGGTATATCGTATTCAATTTTTGCTCGTCGACAACAGAAAACCTTAAATTCAAATAATAAAAACTCGGAAAAAGAATTTATAACTACTGCATGAATTGAATCTTCAATGATTGAGATTTTAATTCATTGAGAATAATTAAAATTAGATTATAAATGAAATAATTAATAAAAAAACTTTTGAGTTGATTCTATTTTTTTTTAATCCACTTAGTGAATATTATCAATTTCAATCTGAGTATGCCGCAAAATATGTCTGATGCAGTCAAAAGATGAGATTTATACGTCTGTAGTAAAAAATAAACGTGATTTTCTTAAGAAATATTTTTCTCAGGAACTTGATGACACAGAAAAATTTGATTTACTCAATAATACAAAATAATTGATTTTAATCGAATTATTTTTGAAGAAAACAATTTTGTATCAAAAATCAGACTATTGGGTCTATAATCAAAAATTATCATGCTTATTTCATAGATATTTTTCACTGAGTATGTATTTATTTCAATTTTGACTTTTTTTTAATGAAAATTGGCTTGTTTTTTGTTGAGAGAATGGAGAGCTTGATAGCTGGTGGAGAAGTATAATGTGTTGATATCTATCGTCAGCGACCTTGTAATACAGCGGTTATTATTCGTTCTTTCATTCTCTTTCTGTTCATAAACAAATATATTATTAATAAGACATCCTTGATTTTATTAATCTACGTAGGCAATTTTAGCTTTGAAGTGCATGTATGATTATTATTGTTGTTTACTGTCACCGAGTTCACTTTCCATTCTTTTGTCGTCATGTTTCAGTGCACACGTAGTAAACATATATCTCTGTTTTCTTTATTGCAAACTATCTGTATTATCAAATAGCCGTACAAATATTATTTTTAAGCAGAGGACTATAACATGATTCACAAATTCTCTACTGTTTTTCAATGGATACTTTTTTTGCTGCTATCCAGTAAGAATTGTCAAAGTGTTGAAAAATGTTCATTCGCACCTCGTTCGAAATGTGAAACAAGTTATGTTAAGGATGCACAAGTAAGAATGTAGTCTTGAGGTAGAAATTGAATAAATTTTACTAGACTTTTTTCTTAGCCTCTTCGCGAACTAGCGGTATGACTTTCGTCTTTCATTTATAGACATTTAGAATGAAAAAGTTCCAACATAAAAAGAGAAGCGAATATGTGTAGAATTTTGACATGCTGAAACATTACTAAAAGATACAGCATGAGATACGTTCTCATATTTTGAAACGGAAAGGTCAAATACGAATGCAAAAATCCCTATTGCGTACACTACAATATTAGATCTGAAATAATTCTAAGTATTCCACAAAAAAATGATTACTATTGTCAATTAACAATGAAGTTGATACATATTACTGCATAGAATATTTAGGTAATTTATCCGTCTCTCGTCGATCCCAATGATTATGCCCTAGCAACTACTCCACTCGACACTGTCTTCGTTGCTAAAAGTACTCTCCCGATTGCCGTAAGTAATACATAATGAATAGTATTGCACAAGTAAAAATGAATAATCTATTTTCATAAGGGCCTAGGAGTATTTGCCGCTAGTTGCATCGCAAAAAACACTTATTTTGGTCCTTACGGTGGACGTAAGCACAATAATAGGTTTGCTGACGGAGGACTGCACTATGCTTGGAATGTAAGAATGAAAGTAGTTCGATATCTATCTTTTTATGTATGCATAGGTTAGAGACAAATTGGGTGAGAGGATATATTACGTCGATGCAGTGGACGCCAGCAACTCGAATTGGCTTCGATTTATTAACTGTGCGAACACCCCTAGCCAACAAAATCTCCGGCACGTCACATGTAAGATGATATTCGTATATAATTTTCGATTGAATTGCTTATGTATTGTTGTTTGCATAGATTATGACGAAATTTACTACTTAACAACGCGAAATATCAATATAGGAGAAGAACTTCTAGTCTATTATGGAAATGGTTACGCTAAGACGCTTGGTATTAACATAACGCAGTTCTCTTAAGTCCTACATGGGACCTTGGCTCAGTGACATGTCACGAAAATTTATATTCACGCTGAAGAAGAAAGAATAAAGTTCTAAGCTGTATTTTTGTTTAAAAAAGGGTGTGGGTGGGTGTGGGGTGTGGATGTGGGTATGGATCTTGAGTGTGGGTATGAGTGTCGGTGGGCAAAGCACTACGCATACTCACACCCATACACTTTTCTTTAAATGAGTTGAATACAAATATATTATTTTTTTTCTGTGCAGAATTAAATTGAAAGAGATGGGAATTGAAAATAGAAATATTGAATTTTCTCAAGAGGGGAAAATGTGTTTTGATCACCAAAAAGTTGAGCTTCATTTTACTCAGAATTTTGTGTTCTATAAGGTAGTACTTTTGAAAAAATGTCAATTTTTGTTTTTTTAAGGACTTTTTCACTCTTAATCCATCTATAAGAATATGGTCTATGATGTCTCTGAGAGAGCTCCTGATTGTCTATCCAAATCACCATTTGAGCTTTCGATTTGAAAGTTTACATAGAAATATACCTTAGACAAAATAGTTTATCTCTTACAAAGTAACGGATTCAATGTTCTTATTCAAGTATAGAGACATATCAAAAGATCTAAAACATGCACAATAAATTATTTTCATTAATGTCTATCTCTATGGAAAGCTTCAAGTCAAAATTCGAAAATCAGTTTTCGTCATATTTCTAAAGGCATTACAATATTGAGTTTTAAAAAATAATCATCATATGATGATATATATAGTTCAGATTCAAAAAATGATTAATCAGTTGAAGAATTTTCCACATAAGATTAAGATGTCTCGTATTAATATTTGATAACAAGTTTGTTATACTGATATTTATAAATCAATAATCGAGTACTTTGTACTTTTTTCAAAATCTATTCTATTCTAGCGAAACCATTTAAGTATTCTTCTGTACTGTTGACATAAGCCATCAAATGAAACACTCCATATGTTTTTATGCTGCTAAACCGAGATATTATAATTTAATAAAACATACTTGAAATTTTTGAAATATCGGCGATTGACAATTTCATTCCCAACAATAAATTTGTAGAAATTTAATTGATGCTCGACTACACTTATTGGTTGTATCCGTATCTACAATGACGATTTTCATGTCTTTAATAATGGTCCTGTAATTATTATTCATGCACATGTATAGTTAATTGAAAATCACGTTCGACAAATCAACTATTCTAGATAATCAATTCAAAGCGGATATATACAAAAACTATAAACATGCTTAAATAATAAATAACAAAAATCATACGTGTATTTTTCTTTTTTATATTGATTTAAAAAGTGAGGATTGAGAATGAAAGGGCACAAAACAAATAAAGATCTTCTTAAACAAAATGTGGAAAAAAATGGATCGATATATGTATATTTTATTAGATATATTAGAATATGACTTACTTTTTGATTGAATACTTATTCTATTCAATTGTTGAGTAGGTACTATTTCTATAGGTGAAACACATTTTATTTGAGGTTTATCTTGATAAAGCTTTAAGATAAATATAAAAATAAAATAATAAAAATTTATTTTCATTTTACTATAATAGTTGGATCATTATTATTATTTTGATTTTCTTCTAATAAATATGAAAAATCACTTATTCGTTGATTTTTTTGTATCTTCATTTGTTATATTTTGCTGTTGTTGTTGTTGTGTTTCATCAAAAACAGGTATTGTTATAATATCGTTTGTTGTTGTATTAGCCAAGATACTATTTGACTTATCAAATTGAAATGTTGATGATAACTATAAATTTTATTTTATTTTCGAAAATAAAAAAAAAACAAATTTTAATTTAAATTATTTTACTTTTCTATCTTGTTCATATTCGACAGGAATATTCTCAGCATATGAAATTTTACAATTTGAATCTTGTTGTTGTGGATAAGACATTGAAACAATAGTTAAGATTAAATTAATCAAATAAAATGAACCAAAAAATATAAAAAAAAATGATAACGACCAACTGTTGATAGTATCTAGATAAAAATATAATAATTAATAATATATAGAATTTATTTTTATTTTATTTACTAATTGATAAAGATTTTCTCAATAATCTTGTGTCATTAATCGAAAACATGCAGGCATAGCCCAACCATAATTATCAAAACTATATCAAGAAAAATTCATATGAAAAAAAAAACGATTAAATAAAATCTACCTTGTATATCCAAAATCAGGACTAAAAAAAACATAACAAAAATATTTTGTTAAAAATTAATAATTAAAAATTTACTTCATGCCTCGATCTTTCCAACAAATATAATCTGAAGGACATTTTGTACTTCCACTTGCATTTTCACAAAGAAGAAAAATATCATTTTCTTTATACCAATTAACTGTAAAAAGTAAAAAAAATTCAAAAAAATGAAATTCTCAAAATATGAATCTATTAAGAATTTCAATATTTCAATGAAATAGAATGGTATATGTCATTTTGTAGATCGAATAAAAGAAAAGAAAATGTCAATTTCGAAATTAATTCTTTTCGTTTTTTTTGTCAAACAATGTGATAAATAATTATTAACTAATCACATCTTAATTCAGAAACTTTTTCTATTAATAGATTAATGAAAAAAAAACAAACTTTTCTTCGTTTGATCGTAATAAAGAATTTTTTTAAACCTACTTTCATTATCAATTTCTTTCAGATAGATTGCATATGTCATATTAGATTCAATACTAGAAATATTAGAATTATTTAGAAAAGATTCATAAGTTGGCACACATTTTTGTCGAAGAACACCCATATATAGTTGTAAGCCGATCTATAATTAAAAGAATAACTTATTCAATACTTTTCTTTTTTTGCTCTAAATTTCATACCAAAGTAAATATAGAAAGAATAAAACTTGATAAAACAGATACATCTCGTAGAGAAATAAAAGATTGTATTAAAGCATTAACAATTGTTTTTAAGCCTATGACAATCAATTAATTAACAATTTTTTTTTTCAAATATTAAACAATATACCAGGTACAACTGCAACAGTTTTTAATGCTCTTAATACACGAAATGTTCGTAATACTGCAACATTTTCGAAATCAATAAAAAATGTTACATATGTAAGGAAAAAAGAACCTTCAAAATAAAATATTTCTCATATTTTTAATACATATGCAAGAGTAATTACAATAAAATCTAACCAATTCCATGGATCACGTAAAAATGTATATTTTTGTAGAATAAATCCTCGTGCAATACATTTTATTAATGCTTCAAGTGTGTAAACTACTGTAAAAACATATCTATTTATTTCAAATAAAAACAGAAAATAAAATAATATCATATACTCATTCATTTCTGGTACGTTCTTAAGTGTCATAAATACGCAATTAGTTAAAATAGTAAGCATAACCAATGTACTAAAAAGTGAATGTGTTAATATACGTATAGCTAAACGTCGAAAATATAAAACAAGCTGATGTTGCATTAAATCGAAATATTGTATTATTTCGATTAATAACCACAAATGCCTACGATTTTAACAATATTAAAAAAAAATTCTTTTTTTTTTAAAGAGATAAAGTTATCAAAATAATTATGCATACATAATCTGTACGATACTAAGAATCGATTTCTTCGATAGGTATTCCAATAAGTTCAGATGGGAATCTATATTGTAAAATTAGTGGTAATGTTTCTCCAACGGCCAATTCTTTATTAGGAATTTGTTTAGGATCAACTGATTCATCTTTTGATGCCTTATTCATACGATGATGTTCATCATAATTATGTTCAACTATTGTTTGTTGTTCTAATTGTTCAGAAGCAATACGTTCACTTTCTTCTTGTCGATAATGTTCAATACGTCGAAGTGATTCATGTGTAAATTTACGAAAGATAATCGATTTGTAGTCCATTCTGATTATTAATACTTAGACCTATTCATACATATGTTGTTGGACCATATAATTCGCTTTATGATCCTTTTACGAAACGTTAATGAAATAATAAGAAGCTGTTGCTGAGAGAAATCCGACATATGGCTAAGTCTCAAATAAAATCATAATATACTGATAAATATAATCTTTTCTCTATGTTCAAACCCATTTATTCGAAACTATACCTTGTAATATATTTATATGTCTTTTTGTAAGTATTTTTATGAAAGTTGAATTCAATTACTCAAGAATTTTAAAAAAATTATCCGTCTAACTAACCTTTTATATTTTAGGTTGTGATGTGAGGTCGCTACGCACTCCTCGAAGAGTCGCGACTCATATTCGTCTTTGTATTCACAGTAAAGTATATCCTTTTTATTTATATATTTTTATACTACTGAAAAAGATGTATAGATGCAGACGTATAGAAAGGGTGTGGGTGTATATATCCATTTTATCTACGCCCACACCCCACACCCACCTAAAAATTTGTTGGGTACTTGCTTCTTTTGCATTTTGCCCAATAATATATTATTGTAAGTGTTGTTTGTTTAGGAGTCTTATAGATTTCTTTCGATAATACTTCCAAGTAGAAGAAAATTCTATTTAAATCAAAAAGCAATCGATAAGTATAATATCAGCACTTATCGAAACCGGTCTTGCTAACTATTTGATTGATTCATATTTGAATCACTAGCTAAACACACCCACATCCATACCCTCAAGATAGTATAAATTCCTTAAACATTGTGAAGTGTGGAACATGCTCAAAAAAGGTGATTTCACAAGAAAGACTATGAAAGAATCAAACATCTAATTATTCATTGTGAATTGTAAGTAATCACTTTATTTATTGTCATTATAACTGTATATACGAATCATGACCACAATGTATAACCTAGTTTTCTTTTGCTCAATGCCTTCTTAATATGTTTCTTTCCATCGACACTCATTCCATTAACACCAATATCTAGTGTCCGAAGTGTCTATGTGAAAAGTGCATGAATAGTCACATGAGGAGAAGATGAAGAGAAATATTAGTATTACTTCATTGATTTCCAGAGCATTGGCAAGGTAGTGTGCTCCTTTATCACCGATTTTATTTTGTCCAAGATGTAGTGTTGTGAGTGTCTATATGATAAGTGCGTGGATAATGAAGTTAGGAAAGGAAGAAGAAGGATCAGTGTTACTTTGTTGATTTGTAGAGCATTCGCAAGGTCTGTTGCTCCTTGATTACCAATTTGATTAGAGTAGAGATTTAGTGTTGTGAGGGTCTGAATGGATAGAGCATGAGTGATGAAGAGAGGAAAAGCAGAAAAAGGATTGATATTATTTTGTTGATTGTTAGAACATTGGCAAGATTTTGTGCTCCTTGTGATCCGATTCTCGTGCAGTAGAGGTTTATTGTTGCGAGTGTCTTGAAAAGTACGTAAATGATAAAGCGAGGATACAACGAAAAAGGATTGCTGTTACTTTATTGATTTGTAGAGCGTTGGCAACGTCTTGTACTCCCTTTGGTCCGATTTTATTGCATCCAAGAACTAGTGCTGTGAGTGTCTGTATGAAAGGTGCATGAATAATGAAGTGAGAAGAAAAAGAAAGATTGGTGTTACTTTGTTGCTTTTTAAAGCATTGGCAAGATCTTGTGCTCCTTGATCACCGATTTCATTCTGTCCGAGGTCTAGCATTGTGAGTGTCTGTGTGAAAGGTACAGGAATGATGACGTGAGGACAAGTAGAGGAAGGACTGGCATTACCCTATTGACTTTTAGAGCATTGGCAAGATCTTGCGCTCCTTGTGAACTGATTTCATTGCCGAAGAGGTTTAGTGTTGTGAGTGTCTATGTGGAAAGTGTATGAATGATGATATAAAGAAATGAAAGAGAACAAGAATTTGTGTTACTTGATTGATTTTTAGGGCATTGGCAAGATCTTGTGTACCTTGATCATCGATATGTTTCCATCTGAGGTCCAGTGTTGTAAGTGTCTGTGTGAAAAGTAAGTTGGTGTGGAAGAGTATGGATAGATCTAAGCTGCAAAAGAGAATGGCTAGTATGAACTCAAAAAAGGGAATAGCTATGATGAGTATCTACCATGCTATCTCAATAGTTATATTGATTTCGAGTTTAGAAATAGTGAACGAAGAAGATACAGTTTTTCATGGATGCTTCATAGTGTATCAATGTTTTCTTGAAAAAATAACTTGTTATCGGTTTAGTTAGTCTAGAATCGTATATAGTTTTTATAGTAAATAACAATTATGATCAGACGCATTGATGGCATCATTTTCTCAATATATCGACACATCCAAGGTATATCTATGAAATGATAACTATTAATGACAAAAAATCGATAAGCGAGAAGTTTCTTCCCTCCAGTACACATACTAAGTAATAAATTCTTATGTCACGCGACGAGGGCGCTAACTGCAAAGTCTCATAAGTTTGTTTTGGATTGTTATATGTTTTATAATGCCGATCCCAAAAGTAAAACGTTATTATAAAGACTGAAAAGAAAATCTTTTCTTGCAAGAATTCCAGCGGCGTACAAGAAAAAATTTAAGCAATTTAAAAGCAAAATACAGTCGACTGTCAAACAGTGTCTATTGTCTCCGACAGAAGAAGACTAACTGGCAACGATGAATTGGATCTTATAGTTCTTCATTACAGAGAGAAGTCATAGTAGAGATAAGAATTCTAGAAGGATTGGTACTATGGGCTCTTTCTTCTTGATTTATGTCCGTTTTACTGAATTTTCAGCTGGTAGCAAAATAATACCCACAAAGCCGTAATAAAAGGTTCTCTTCTGAAACTTTTCCTCACAACAGATCTCATGGTGCTTA